GCCCCGTTTGCCCCGTGTTAAAGATGGCCCTGCAAAGAGTGCAAAGATTTGTCATTAATGGTAAATTTTCAAGCTGGACAGAGGTGGCAAGTGGTGTCCCTCAGGGGTCTGTTCTGGGACCCCTTCTATTTAACATGTTTATAAATGATCTTGAAGACCGCATTGAAAGTCATGTTTCAGTGTTTGCAGATGGCACAAAACTCTGTAAAATAATACAATGTGAGCAAGATATTACTTTGCTGCAGAGGGATTTAGATAGACTGGAGGACTGGGCACTCAAATGGCAGATGAAATTTAATGTTGAAAAATGCAAAGTTATGCACTTCGACGTAAAGAATACACAAGCAATGTATACCCTTAATGGAAGCGAATTAGGGATAACAACACACGAAAAGGACTTGGGAATTGTTATAGACAACAAACTATGCAACAATGTGCAATGTCAATCAGTAGTGGCTAAGGCCAGTAAGGTATTGTCATGCATGAAAAAGGGCATTCATTCTCGGGACGAGAATATCATTTTGCCTCTTTATAAATCACTGGTAAGACCCCATATTGAATATGCTGTGCAATTTTGGGCACCTGTTCTAAAGATGGATATTATGGCACTAGAAAAAGTGCAGAGGCGGGCTACAAAATTAATAAAAGGAATGGAACATATCAGCTATGAAGAAAGGTTAACAAATTTAAACCTATTTAGTTTAGAAAAACGTCGCCTGAGAGGGGATATGAGAACATTATACAAATATATTCGGGGCCAATACAAACCATTGTGTGGAAATCTATTCACAAACCGGACTTTACATAGGACACGAGGCCATGCGTTTAGACTGGAAGAAAGAAGATTTCGCCTAAGGCAAAGGAAAGGTTTTTTTACTGTAAGAACAATCAGGATGTGGAATTCTCTGCCTGAGGAAGTGGTTTTATCAGAGTCCATACAGATGTTCAAACAGCTACTAGATGCATACTTGCAAGAACAGAATATTCAAGGATATAATCTTTCAATGTAGGGTAATAACTGCTTGATCCAAGGATAAATCTGACTGCCATTCTGGGGTCAAGAAGGAATTTTTTTCCTAGTTTGTTTCAAACTGAGTTGTTTTTTTTTGCCTTCTTTTGGATCAACCGCAAAAAACAAATGTGAGGAAGGCTGAACTTGATGGGCACAAGTCTCTTTTCAGCTATGTAACTTTGTAACTATCGTATATACTCGAGTATAAGCCGAGTTTTTCAGCACATTTTTTATGCTGAAAACCCCCCACTCGGCTTATACCCGAGTCAGTCTGTATTATGGCAACTTACATTGCCATAATACAGACCAGGACCGCCGGGCTCATTACAAGCCGCGGCTCTCGCGAGACTTACACTGTGAGCAGAACGGAGCTGACAGAGGAGCTGCACAGAGGAGGAGGGAGCTGACAGGAGCTGCAGGAAGGTAAGTAACAGCTCACTGCCAGCCCCCCCACTGAACTGCCAATGCCACTGGACCACCAGGGATTCGATATTATTTTAATATTATTATTATTTTAATATTTGCATTATTTTATTTTAAATGTTTTTTGTCCCCCCTCCCTGGCCAGGCAACAAGCAGGGAGGGGGGACAAAAAACATTTAAAAAAAATAATGCAAATATTAATAATAGTAATAAAGTAATATTATTATTTTAATATTATATTATTTTAATAACAATATTTTATTATGATATTATTATTATTTTAATATTTGCATTATTTTATTTTAAATGTTTTTTGTCCCCCCTCCCTGGCCAGGCAACAAACAGGGAGGGGGGACAAAAAAACGTTAAAAAAATAAATAATGCAAATATTAAAATAATAATAATATAATAATAAAATAATATTATTAAAATAATATAATATTAAAATTAAAAAATTAAAATGCCCTCCCCTCACCCAGTTTACACACACTGCACAAACACACACACTGCATTATATACACACTGCATTCATTATATACACACACAACACACAAACGCACACACTGCATTCATTATATATACACACACACAAACGCACACACT